GTTGTTCACCACATGGGTAGGATGATGAATATTTTATGTTTACATCCAGGAGAACGTTATTATAAGTCTCACTTAGGAAGAAACAAAATGTCTGAAAACTAATTTAATGTTGTCGAAGATATGTTGCGATTTTATGTTACGTGTTGTGTTAGCTGTTGACAAGAAGTTGAACGCGTTTAGTTACCACCGAGACAACCGACTGTTGACAGTATACTGATACAACATAGGTTTTTAATAGAGTATATAAGACTTCAAAGCAGTTTCCAGATATCAGAAATGTTCAAACATTTTACCATCTTTGTGTCGAAAGGGAAAGAGCTCTCTGCTTTCAAGGTCATGGGTCTTTGTCCGGTGCCTTCTTTCACATTATTTGTTTCTTTTTCTACTTAGACAAATGGAACTACTTGACCACTCATTCCCTTTAGAGTACAACTGTATGAAAATGTTTGACCACTCACTCCCGTTAGAACACAGCTGTATAAAACTGCTTAACCACTCACTCCCATTAGAACACAGCTGTATAAAACTACTTGACCACTCACTCCCATTAGAACACAGCTGTATAAAACTGCTTGACCACTCACTCCCATTAGAACATAGCTGTATAAAACTACTTGACCACTCACTCCCATTAGAACACAGCTGTATAAACTACTTGACCACTCACTCCCATTAAACACAGCTGTATAAAGCTGCTTGACCACTCACTCCCTTCAGAACACAGCTGTATAAAACTACTTGACCACTCACTCCCATTAAAACACAGCTGTATAAAACTGCTTGACCACTCACTCCCATTAGAACACAGCTGTATAAAACTACTTGACCACTCACTCCCATTAAAACACAGCTGTATAAAACTGCTTGACCACTCACTCCCATTAGAACACAGCTGTATAAAACTATTTGACCACTCACTCCCATTAAAACACAGTTGTATAAAACTGCTTGACCACTCGCTCTCTTCAGAACACAGTTGTATAAAACTGCTTGACCACTCACTCCCTTTAGAACACAGCTGTATAAAGCTGCTTGACCAGTCACTCCCTTCAGAACACAGCTGTATAAAGCTGCTTGACCACTCACTCCCTTCAGAATACAGCTGTATAAACCGCTGAACACTCACTCTCTTTACAGCATTGCTGTTATTTAAATAATCGTCTGAGGTTTTTCTATTTAGAAAGTAAACGTTCACTTTTCGATTGTTATATAATCGTTCACTTACCTGCTGTTAGCTCGAGCGATTAAGCTACTCTTTCCCTGGGGTCATATTTGATTGAATAGTGTTCATTACGGTCGACATTATGAAGTACCGTATAATTCATGACCAGAAGAAACTACACTCGGATATTATAAGACTTTGCGTCAGTTTCAATCGCTACTACCAACTATAACAAAAACGTTCCTTCATGAAAACGATTAAAACTATCAGGATAAAACTTGAGGTAGAGCAGGACATTATATTTACTTTCATATATTCATTGTTCGATTTAAAAACACTGCACCCATTAAACAAGCATAAAACAATCAGTGTACTTACTTTCAGTATCTCCTGTTCTCAATGATTCAACAATACAAGAACAACATGTTTAGTGTCATTCAGTCCAGTAGTTTTTCTGATTCAACAATACAAGAACAGCATGTTTAATGAAAAACTACTGGACTGAATGATTGATTCAACAATACAAAAACAGCATGTTTAATGAAAAACTACTGGACTGAATGATTGATTCAACAATACAAGAACAGCATGTTTAATGAAAACTAATGGACTGAATGATTGATTCAACAATACAAGAACAGCATGTTTAGTGAAAAACTACTGGACTGAATTATTGATTAAACAATACAAGAACAGCATGTTTAATGAAAAACTACTGGACTGAATGACTGATTCAACAATACAAAAACATCAACTCTTACAGTAGGCGAGTTCTGATTTTAATAGTCCTCCATTGGCTCAGCGATAAGTCTGTAAGCTTACCACTCTAAAAATCGGGTTTCGATACCCGTGTTGTGGAGTCATCATCTGGAAAGAGTCACATTGATAAAAGACAGTTTATATCGAAGAGAAACGGAACTCAGAATTCAAGGCCCTCAAATGAGAATCACAAAGGAACAAAAGATATCATCACAGACAACAATGGTGATATCGTCCGAAAAGAATATGTCTACTGTAAAAGTTGCTGTAAGTGTATTTTGGAGTTCTTTATTTTCATTTTTGGCTTTCATAACGATTCCTTTTTCATTCATACTGAAAAACGTTAAAGGAAAAAATACATTTAAAGAAACTTTTCTCAGCCCTTGAATAACAGTTGATTCAGTTAAAATACAACATTTGAAATATGCTAAGTCAGTAACACTAATACTGAAGGTGCATTTCTGCCCAACCATGGAATTCAGCTACTGGAGATGATGGATATTATCTAATGAGTAGCATATTTGTGACCTTTACTATTCGGTGGAAATCTCCAATATGGCCTTTTTCGAAACTTGGGTTTTCTAAAGAAAAACTCAAAGATGGTGCTCGTCTTTCAAGTATCATTGAAACTAAAACCCTTTGATTAACAAAAGTATTTCATGTCAGACTTCTCTGTGAGCAAGGAGAGAATTTAATGAGGCTCTACAGAGTAGAGAGTATTTCCTACGTGCACAAGATCCGACAAAAAATTTCTTATCGTTTATACCGAATAATTCTTCTATTTTAAAGATTCTTGTGTTTCTGTTGAATTTCTTCATCGTGTCTGGTATAAAATCTATAATAACTTTTATAACGACATTCCATTTGTTATCTACAGTATTTAATTCTTACAGTTGACTTTATCTATCACATGATAATTAGATGAAAAAAACCTAACATACTTCTGTATTTGATATACAAAAAAGACATTAACTTATCTGATGTCAACGCGAGAATTATTTAACAGTAGAACCATTCTGAGTAGAATTATTTAACGCTAGAACCAGTCTAAAGTAGAATTATGTAACACTAGAAGCAGCCTTAGTGGAATTATTAACACTGGAACCATTCTGAGTAGAATTATTTAATATTACAACCAGTCTGAGTATAATTATTTAACACTAGAACCAGTGTGAGTAGAAATATTTAACACTAGAACTAGTCTGAGTAGAATTATGTAACACTGGAACCAGTCTGAAGTAGAATTATTTAACACTAAAACCAGTCTGAGTAGAATTATGTAACACTGGAACCAGTCTGAAGTAGAATTATTTAACACTAAAACCAGTCTGAGTAGAATTATGTAACACTGGAATCAGTGTGAAGTAGAATTATTTAACACTAAAACCAGTCTGAGTAGAATTATGTAACACTG